TCAGATGTTCTCTCCGCTTCGGCTTACAAATTAAGCCACATAATAAGCCTAGGGGCCCCGGACTTAGGAACACCTGGGCTTAGATCCGAGGGATTACTAATTTATACCACGTATTTACCAGATCTTACCGTTGACTTGATGGCCATTTATAGTAAAAGGTATGACGAACGGAGATAAATAAAATGGAGATAAGTAAAATGGCTTTCCCGAAGTAAAATAGCAAGTAAAGCTCTAAATGACATAATGCTACTTTGTATGACGTAGATTTCGTTTATGATATAGCAATAGCCCCTTAATACGACTTTCATCCACGACTGAGAGGAAACTACGCATAGGAGGAAGATCGAGCCGCGTAGGTCTTATCTCTTATAGTAAAGTGGGATAGATAAGGCCTAACTAGGTAGGAAGTAATGATGACCATCTAATAGGAGTGTTGTATGAGATATCAGCGAATGGTCTGTCATACGAGACGGTTTCCATACAGGACTGGTTAATATAATGCGATACTGAATGTAGCTTCAGGATCATTCGAAGACTGGCACCTGAAATGCTACTCCTGTTCGAACAGTAACTACCGTGTTGAATCTCGGTGGTAGCAGAACAGAAAAGTAGTATTGAGGTCTTAGTCTGGTGTTGGAAAACGAGTTTTTTCTACCCGAGTCTTCGGTAACATCCATAGATGGGATGGCTGTCTTGTGCTACCTCAAGCTATTTAACCCCATTGGCCAACCACGTGAAAATTTACCCAAAGTTTCTATTCGGAGTTATTGTCCAAGAGTACCTAGATGCTTAGGTCCTTCTTGGCAGTGTCATCTTCCATGAGGTATCACCCCCTCTCATCTGTAGTAGGTCCCTTCTCGCTTATGGATATCAACGAATGTCGAAGATATGAACTTGCACTAGGAATTCCTTGTTTCTGTTAAAAGCCACGATGTACCCTAATAGCGAGTGCCCCAATGCTGATAAGCAACGAATGCAGGGATTATGCAGTTGATGATACATAAAGCTAGTGTTGAAGAGTGATTTTCAGTACCCCAAAACGCCGTATGCTATCTCTTCTTATAGGCGTTGAGCCCGTTGAGATTCTAATGTTAAATGAATATACCCTCCCGTTTTCAGCGGTGAGCTTGATGTTGAGATCCCCCGCTCTAGATCCGGAACGCCTTAAATGCAGTAATATACCTCTCATGCTGATTCGTCATGCGTCGTGTTTGACATCTATCTGTAGGCTCTGTTTAGTCCAACCAAGCTCAGGAATTCGTTTCTGGTCTTCTCCTTCTTTTCGAAGCAACCAAGCACGCAACTAGTGATCGTGCTAGTTGTTGTCTTTTCCACTCCCCGCATAACCATGCAGAGATGACTGGATTCCATGACAACCGCCACTCCCTGAGGTTTTAGAACCTCCATAATTGCATTGGCGACTTCTCGTGTTAGTCGCTCCTGAACTTGTAGCCGGCGGCTGAACATCTCAGCGATTCGCGGGAGCTTGGATATGCCGATAACATTGTTTTTCGGAATGTATCCGATGTGCATCTGAAATGAATATTAGCATAAGACGCAAAGCTGGTGACTGTTTCGACTCACTTTCCCGAAGAAGGGGACAAGATGATGTTCGCATAGACTGAATATCTCGATGTCTTTCACAATAACCATCTCGTTGTGGTTCTCTTGGAAGATAGCATTATTGACAATGTCTCTGACGTTCTGCTGGTAGCCTTTCGTGAAGAACAGCATTGCCTTCGCATATCGTGACGGTGTATCTAGTACACCCTCCCTATCTGGGTCTTCACCAACGCATTCCAGAATCGTTCGAACGGCGGCTTGCAATTTTTCGAGTCTCTGAGCTGCTTGCTCCGAACTTTCTTCGAGTCGTTCTCGAGTTCCTCGACCTATGTTTATGTAAGCAGGGGTATTCAATTAAACAAGTCGATTACATACTCGGTCGGCTGAGGCCATCGAAATCTATAACTGGACTAGGTGACCTTGTTTCGGTACCCTCAGGCTTGGTCTTCTTCTTTTTCTTCTGAGGTTCGTCTCTGGGATCTCTCGCAGCCTTGCTTATGCTGTGCCTCCTCTTCGACGAGCTGGTATGACCATTAATCTCGGATATTCCGCCATCCTTTGCCCTTCTTCTTCGCTTCCTCTTGGTTGCCTTTTTCTCGTCTTGATTGTCGTCGCGCGCTGGCTTCTCGCTGGCATTGGCGGAGTCGTCCACATCAGACACTTCGATAGCTGAACTGTTGGAAGAATATGGCGCTACTGAACCCTGATCGCTCCGTCTTGCATCTGTGGGTTGCGCCATTTTGCTTTTTGTCGGAACACGGGATGAAGTGGCGCAAAGATGTCAGTGGGATGTGGCTCATATAGCTTTGATTCTCGCAAGAGTCCCTTCGTCTTTCTCGAAAGTGAAGAAGGCGGTCTATCAAGTAAGACCAACGGAGCGGAAAAACCAAAGTTGGAATTCCAATCAGCTGGATCCTTTGAAGCACATGTGTAGAAGTAAAGGTAACGTGCTTATGTAGGAAGAAGAATTGAGTAATACAATAATACCAATGTTCGCAAAGCGCTAACAATACCAGCTCTACATAGAAGTTGCTTAGCTCGTAAAATTCAATTCAAGTTGCATCTATCCGAGCATTAGCTAACTTCTCAATTGTCCGTTATCGGGCTGATAGGGTCTACTGAAAGTCCGCGGGGTAAATTGCCCCTCCATGCCCCCACACAGTGTGCCTAATTCTTGGTACGTGTAGTACTTACTGTGCGGCGTGGCTGCTTCGTGGCTGGGATCCGTGCAGGTAGCGTCGATGTTGTGGCTCAAGCTCTTCATCATCTAAACATTCAAGTTGTCTACAAATGTAACTTTTCAACACAATATACAAATTCACATCCATCACTTTTAATCTGCGTGCCGCAACCTTCAGCCCCCATTTCTCATTACGGTTATCATAAATTTGGAGGAATCATTCTATGGCGACACTGTTTACTTCGACTCCCAACCAAATCCGAGACAGCTCCTTAACTACTTATTAGCCCGAGACCGTCACGATATCTGGAACCTCGAGTGGATTTTACTAAACTAGGCGCCCCGAACAAGATGGCGTCGCCTCCACGCGCGTACTCGCCCGCGGGTTCTCCACCGTATTCTAGCGCGCAGTTGCCATCGAAGAAGCGCGGCTCCATGACTTCTGATCCTTCCGTCCAGCCTCCCGCCATCAAGCGACGAAAGGCATCTACTATGTCCATAACCTCCGTGGGCTCAGCACATCCTCTCCGACAGACAATATATCCGCCCGGCGAATCGCAGCAGGATTTTTCCCCTTCCTACAATCGGTCTCCCAGTATGGACACTATGAGTCTCGTCAGCGGAAGCCAGGTCAGCGGCGCACCTACAAAGAAGAAAAGAGGTCGAAAGTCGAAGGCAGAGCGCGCGAGTGAGGCAGCCGCCGAAGCTCTGCGCGATGGCTCACCCAGCGTCGTGGGAGGTCGCGCACCGACGGTGTTAAGCACTGCTAGTGGCAACAATGCTGGCAAGGATGGCGAAGGGGACACGCGAAAAGAAGAAGAGTTCGAGATCCCGGAGAATATGGCTAGCATGTCGGCTGCTCGGACGAAGGAACAGATTGAAGAAGCCAAGGAGCTCCAGGCGTTACTGAAATCCCAGATGTCTCCTGAGCAATTCGCCCGCTACGAGGTTTGGCATCGTCAGACCCTGAAGAATGCGGACGTAAAGAGAGTAAGGCGTCGCCTGCTATGCTGTCAATTCTGTCCAAATATCATTACTAACTATATCTATGTAGCACATAAACAGTGTCACTTCCCAGTCTTGTCCGCCTAATGTTCATCAAATGATGCAAGTGGTTTGCAAGATGTACCTCGGAGACATAGTTGAGTCGGCTCGCAGGGTTCGGGACGAGTGGGCGGCACTAGGCGAGAAGCAAGTCGAAAACCCCGACGACCCGAAGTTCAAGCCTGAGAACGAAAAGTCAAAAGGCCGCCGACAAGCTCCTCTACGCCCCGACCATCTTCGAGAGGCATACAGACGCCGGAAAGCCTCTGCTGAGGACGGTGGAGCACTGGGAAGTCTGCTAGTTTGGAATCAGCAAACGCAGAATGGAGCGGAGAGGTTTTCGGCGAGGGCTGGGGGTCGCCAGATTTTCAAGTGACTGCGATTACTTCAGAAACAACGTTGATCAGAACTTTGGGGGATATGGATATGAAGCTTCAGGCACTGTAGATCACAGGTGCTGATGAAGACGAGGATTACTACATAATCCACCCAGCAATGTTATGGTACGAGGCTTCTACGAATTATTCAAGCCATTTCGGCCTTCACCGCATACTAATTGCAACAGAACATACGCCTTGATCCTTAATGCATCACAAATCCGCGGCATTAGGTGCTTTTGACCCTTGTTGGAGGCCACAACACTAAGCTGGAACATATATCCACACGGCTAGGCATGCGAGTCTTGATGATTTTATTGCCACGGACCCGGTCTATCAGGGCGAGGTGAACTAAGGCAGAGAGGAAGGGAATGAGCTCGTCTTAAAGGTAGCTGAATGAGCTACACCTTGCGATGTATTTAGTTTACTGCAGGAGGGAAGTTCTCTGGAACATATCTGCCAGAGATTAATTCTCAGTTACTACTAGCATAGCATTTATAGCTAGGAGTCATGAATAATATGCGTTTTCAACGCATTCAAGTAATATAGGAGTAATATTGACAATTACACGTACCTATGTACAAGGCATTCTCTCTGTGTAGTAACTTACGTTTGCTGTCTTGGTTTACCGTATATAGTACATTCATTCATTCCCTATTGCGGCGGATTTGGCTTAGCACTTGAAATAAATAGAGAAGGTATTCAAAGACAGCGTTGGAGACAAAGATATCGATTGTCCCTACTTGTGATCATGTGATGACATTTGTTTTCAAGGATATCACGTGATGTAGAAATTTGGTACTTAGGACTCGACAAGAAGCGTTTCGTCAAGCCCGGCCCTTGTAGCTCAGTGGTAGAGCGCAGCACTTGTACTTCTACACAAGTCTCATGCTGAGGTCCATCGTTCAATCCGGTGCGGGGGCATTCATGATCATTATGTACAACCTGGGTATTATAAATGGTATTTTTCTTTTTCCATGTTTATTTAGGGTGCTTTGTGAAATTTCTTTTTCACCAATTAATATTCATCACACCGAATCAATCCTCGAAATAAAAATCATTTTGTTTTTCACGCTTCACGCTTGAAAACACACACACTGCCCAGACAATCATTACTTAACCTTGAATCATGTAGTCTGCCAACTCCCATTCTGTCGTAGATAAATTATTTACTTAGCTAGCTTTTGCCAATCCATCATGCTGTTTCCTGACTCCGGCCGCGATACCGATCGGCAAAGTTTCCTCCTGATTGCGGAAAACTCATGCTTCTTCTCGGAGCAATCACACAACGGAGCAAATCGGCAGAAAGGCCATCCATCGGCTGGGAAATTCGTGTCGGCTGAACGCATCAGGCAACAGAATTAAACCCCGGCTTCACCGTTGCAGCGACTACAGAATATTCCATAAAAAGCAGCAATACTCCATAAGAAGTGGATAGCTGTCATTAGTTGATTAAGTAAAATGAGTAGGTAGTGGAGTGAAACACAGCCCCAGCGGCATCTTGGCATGCAATGCCTGGCAAGAAAGCGTTATGATCGTCGAGTTATTCTGTTGCCTGGATAATGACAGCAGAACTCTGTAACGGCTTTTATCGACCGCTAGACCTTAAGCGATTTTGGCCCCATATATGAGAGATTGAAGATTTGATCGCACGGCACATGGTGTGAGCGTGCATCGTACCTTTGTCAACGTGGTGGGTGGATCTACACTCATAATGGAGACATCCCGGGGGGGGCCTTGATAGGATCTTTGCAAGTGATTGAATCCTTTGGGTCGCAGGTCGCATGGCTGGGTAACTCGTATTTAGAAACACCTGGATGTTTTTGGGACGCAATGGATGCATGGTGTAAAAAGGATATATACATCCATTCGCACATAGATGGCAACCAATTCATCGTGAGTCTTGGGCATTTGTTTTCAACTCGACGAATTATCCAAGTAAAGACGTTCGAAAACTAGGTACCTGTCTCCGCAATGTCTCCCAGTAACAGCAGACCAGCGTCCATCGCAAAAGACGCCCCTCGCGTGGTGGAGGAAGGACGAGAGCCATGGCAATCGCCAAACCAGCTATCATGGAACAGAGCAAGATTCGGGCTACTGATCACTTCGTACATCTTGGCCATTATTCTCTTCGGATTATCCGTCAGTGGATTTGCAGCGCCGGCGGGGTTCAGTTCGTTTCCTGTAATGGGGATGCCGCTGGTAAGTTCGGACTTATGGCTCAGCAATGACATGTACTAACAATCCGATCCGTTCAGGCCGTAGCAGCGTTCTTATATGACACTTCCGAGTTCATCGTGATGTGTGTCCGGAGAAGAAAGACGGGGATCCCACCGGCCGTGTCCCTCGGGTTCGAACTCATTATCTCGTTTGGAGGTCTCGCTTTATCTGCGCTCATGATCGTCTTCACGGTCGATTCCTGGCAATGGAACAGGTACTACTCTGGTGTTCCAAGCGGCGAGCGTGGTCCTCCCGTTCCCAACTACGTTGATAATGGGTACTTCTGGTTCGGCATCTCTGTTGCCGCTAGTATCATGGCGGCCCTATTATCGTGAGTACCAATAATTCGATCATCAGGTTACTTTCCGGCAAGGCTAATACTCATCCAAGACTGATACACTTCACCCTATTCGTCCGCGACTGTGTGGAGGTAGATAGGCAGCGGAAGTTTGCGAAGCAACTTCCAAGGGAGACGGTGTCGACAGAAACAGCTCGAGGGCAAGAGTCCGTTTCTAACGTTCCCGCCCCATCGTACGAGACTGTCGAACTCGACAACTATGATGATAAGACCAAGTCTGATCTAGTAAGGCCACCAAAGGATGTACCAACATCTAAGATCATGGAAGCTAACATTATTACATAATTCAGAGTTCGCAGAGCCAAAGACTCTAAGGCAGGACATGCTTATCTGACCAAGATAGGTGTTGCAGGAATACGCTCATGAATAGAAACTGCTATGGTTGAAGAGTCCGTCAATATGATCTATGGCACGGCTTAGAGGCGATCCTGGTATCTGATAGAATCCCGATTTGAGGCCTTGGGCGTTTGGTGTCAGGGCAACTTCTAATGAGTATTAATGGAACTCGATATCTAATGCCACCTGCGAAGGTATATTAGGGGTTGTGCTGGGTCCTTTGAGAGATAGTCGGATAGGCAGAGCGTTAATTAATAAAGTCAACTGGATAATAGGATGCGCAAAACACCAGTACCAAGAGCAAAACACATCCCTACCTATTTCTAAACAACAATCCATGGAATTGATGTCTCGAGATAATTGAGAATACTTGATTTATATCGTATTTCCATCAAATGACGGGAGTTGGCTGTCATACCTGCTTAGTCATCAAAGGGGTCACTCCTGAGTCGTTGCATTTATCGTACGTCGTGACACCCAAAGCAACAACAGGGCCGCCCATGGAATCAGTGCAAGATACATACGGCACAAATACAATTAATTCCATGAGTCCCTAGATATTTCTCATCGCTATAGGGAGTTCTTATGTCTATCATGTACTACAGATAGGTGTCGTCTAACTTAGCGAATCGTATTCGTGTCTTGTACGTTTGTTAGTTCAAGCTATAGTGGTAGATTTATGTGCATTAGTATGTACGAGTACTAGGTAGACTTGAGTACGCCGAAGACAGTCAAGGCTATTAAGTTCTCGAAAACGTACTACGTGATCGTTGTTTAATGGGTAGCCAGTTAGGTTAATAGTCATTACGTTCATTAGTCAGTCCATCAGTAACCGAACTGACTAGCAGTTAATTGAATTCCTCAGAAAAAGCTCGTCATTGACTATCTAGGATTAAGTCAAATGATGTACTTTATCCAGCAAATATCAGTGACCCTCCATGCAGGGTTATTTGGTGGTTCGTGTCCAGGGCATGATTCTCTGTTAATAAACAGAGTGATGAAGTCACGAACCAACTGCATCAACGGAGGGTATCGACTGAGAGAGCCCCATGAAAGGACGCAAGTATCAGTAACACCGGTAAGTCGTGAGACACTTGTCAATGTGCCGGCGCATCTCATGACAACCAAGGGTTATGAGCCTTGCCATCTGCTGCGAAGATCTCCCTATTCATATGTCCGGAGTGGAATTGTGCCAGACGAGTTATTGAGCAGGATGAAACTTGATCGACGGGTGGACTAATACGTCGTCTCGTATGGAACAACGCGATCAACGAAAATTAGTTTCATTCGTACGTTATTCGTATGCACGGCGGATATCCTTCCAGCTCGTTGGGTCTTGAATACGGGAACGATTCATCAACTAAATATGTTTTGCGTTTCATGGGGTTGGGAGACTCCACTGGGGTCTCTAGAAGACGGAAAGCTGTTCATAATCATCCGATGTGATTAGCTTGGCCAAGTTAGATCGCTTCCACTTAAGGATCATATAATTAGAGGAATTACCAAGCCTTGGTGCGACCACAATGCAATTTCCCCTAGATATAACTTGTTGGCACACGGATGCTGTGTGTAGAGAACAGGATTCTTCCTGGCATATAAGAAAAAGGTGGCACCCAATTAGCTTGTCATATGGATGCCAATAGTTTGATATGCCTTGGAGACTGGATACGTAAAAGGTACGTATTGTCACTAGTAAAAGGGCTGAAAGGAGCATAAGAACGAAGTGGCCCAGAACGAAGGCTAGTGTAACGTAGATGTGCAATAGGGTGAAAACTTATATGGCTCTCTGAACTGCTTAGCTGGATAGCGGCGAATCTAAGAGAGTTGGTGACAGCATATAGTGCATAGAGACCGTCATGGGAGAAGTGTTGTCCGTTATTTGCAATTCATCATTCTCGGATAAATTTTTGGCTTCTCCGTTGGCGGTCTTCTAGCTTCCGAAAGATCTCGTCATGCTTGCTAAGTTTCATCCGATTCCAATTTGTCTCCGTCGTGGTTACTGGGTTGAGAGGTAAGAGTAGAGATATCTTCCACGTAAATCAGGAGCGATCTCATTTCTGGGTCTGGTTATGTGTAGTGCGTGGTGGTGGCAACTAGGATACGGGGGATATAAGTCGTGGATCTGGTATATCTAGATAAACTAGAGACTTCTAGCTTCGATAGAAAGGTAAACGACCATCTTGCAACTGTCATTATTGGATGATGATTTGGTTGCTAAAGAGGCGAGGTCTCCGTATGGATGGCTGGGTTGTACAATTATAGTGCGTAGAAGAGCCATTTTAGTTGAAGCCAATGATGATAGCGATCTTCAATGTGAGTTTGTAAAAGGTGATTTGGAGAATCTAGATGGTCTTGATTTCTTGTTATCCATTGTGGGGCAGCGTGTGTAACGTAGATAGACACGATGTCTCTGGTGGCTATTAGAAGTTCAGACACAGTGAAAGTGGACCTGCATTTCATTCCATCGGATGAAGACCACCCTTGGACCAATGAGTATAGAGTTCTGGAGACAGGGTAGAGTGGAGTAGACGAGTCAGAATATGGTTCTCCTATACCTGAAAGGGATAAATTAGCACTGGGTGTATATCTTTTAATAGAAAGAAATGAGGAAAAAAGGGTGTGCAAGAAAACTCCGAGTGACGTACCTCGAGACTAGAATGGAATATCATCAGCAAACCGAGGAATTATAGCAATACTAGAAGGGCAATTGCGTATAATGCAAGTGTTCAATGCTAGACATCGGAGGATGTGATGCCTGTATTAGTGATAACCGGTAGGTTATAAGGTTAACCGAGGATTATATCTTCGGGCAGTCCGGTCAATCGCTCATTTACCGAGCGATATCGCTGGCATGGGCTTACGGTTGCGTCCTCCTTCGGAACCACAACGACGAACTCCAGCTTGCTTATCTTCACATTGATGCCAGGACCCTTCTTCCACTCCTCGAATTGGCTTCGGAGACGCATCTCAATATCGTTGGGTTTGACACGAATCATAGCCTTGCTAGTCC